CACAACAGAGCAGCAAGGGGAGCAAAGCAACAAAGGCCCGAGGAATTCTAAAAGATTCTTGGATTCAGGGCAGGGTTTGGCACTGCATCAGACCCGATTGGAAAAAGGTCAGCAGACAGACCTGGAACTATTCATAGGTTTGGGGGTGTTGTTTTTTTTTCTTTCTTGAGCCCCCCCCCATGTCTATCTATATAAGATAGGCAGGATTAAAAAAATCCCTAAGAGAAAACAACAGGACCAATGGTTCCAGGGGAGAGGAGGAGTTGGAGGAAAGAGAATGGGGAGCCAACAAACCTAGGGACAAGGGAACAATAAGAGATCTAAAATTGATGGCGAGGAGGGCATAAAATGCCTGGTGGGGTTGGATCAAGTGCAATGTAACCAGAGTAATTACTGAGAACCCATGAAGGTCGAACATGATAGTGGGATAAGAGGAAAGTAAAAGGAAATAGAAGAACGAACTAGGAGGCAAAAGATATTTATAGAGATATAAACACATGCATGTACATATGAAATATCTTAATATATAATGATAGGGAGATAGGTCAATGTACATATATTTATAGGTTAAGTATTAAGGTGGCAGGTGGACATTGGGCCTCTACTTAAGTCCTCCCTCAACACAAGAACACTTTGTACTTTTAACCTGGCACTCTGTGATGCTCACCTCCCTGACACCATCACTGAAGACAAAGCAGGTGCATAAGCTAATGTGGTGAACAAAGCTGATGGTGCCTGGCTATCAAAAGATATAGCATCTGGGGTCTTAAAGGATTGGAATTAAACAAGCAGCCATCTAGCTCAGAAGTAACAAAGCCCACATGAAAGAAGCACACCAGGCTGTGTGATTATGAGGTGTGGATGGGATCAGGTATCAGGCATCAGAAGACCCAAAACCATTTTGATGGGAATGAGGGGGTCAGAGTGAGATCCATAGCCCAGCTGTAGACGATTGGACATCCCCTCACAGAAGGGCCACAGGGGACAAGCCAGACAAGACAAAACACAGCATTCCTCTAATTCAGGGGTCCTCAAACTTTTTAAACGGGG